TGAATCACTCTCGCTTCGATGACATTTAAATTTCCGCAAATTGCGTTATGCTTGACAGTCTGCAAAAAATATCAGTGCGTCTCCGCGAATCGTAGGCGATCTACGATTGTTATTTATTATTATAATTATTTTATTTTGGGAAATATCTTTATGAAAAAAGTCGCGAGATAAACAGAGACGGAGATTGAAGCTAAACATATGCATGCACGTAACTTATTCTTGCGTCACAAGTAACAAGGATAACGAGTTATAAAACTAATCAACTACAGGATAGCATTTGCTTTAATCTTTAGAAATTAGTTTTGACACTAACATGGTAAAAGATCACTCCGAAAATGTAAGTCACGATGATGCATCGTACGGAATGGAGTGCATTAAATGGAATTTAATTCGTTTATTTCGTTTAAAATATATTTTACAATTATAGCTATCAGAGGGACGAAGGAATTAACAGTGCCAGTAACGCTTTGTACGGAATGTTTTGATTGGCAGTGGACAATAGGTTATCCGTGAATCAGATCCGACGAAGATGGTCGAGAAAAATGAAATTTTACTCGTGCTCGGATTGTTCTTAATTCTATTTTGCAAGCAGTCTTCCTCGGAGTGTAAACAATTAACGCCTTGCTCGTGCATGTTCTCGAATTGGCAAGGATACAGTTTAATGCCACTGGTTAACTCAATGTTGGTAGATCGAGCATCCTAACCTTTTCATGTATTGCGTGTTACTTTTCAATTAATGACAAACGTCTTTTTAGGCCTTTAAACGACACAAAATTGAACAACACAACGAATTACACTTTTTTCTTCCATCCTTGCACGAATATGCCACTGTCGAACAATAAATCGAGCAATTGTTACACAGGAGATGGTGTATCTGTAAGAGAATGTTCTATTAGTGTTGCACAATTTTCTCTTTCTCTTGGATCTTACCATAGTTTAGAACACGTGCAAAATATTTGGATATTTATGTACAAAATTTGCATATTATGTGTTACATGAAGTGTTTTGAAATTTCATTGGCATCATAAAGAGATGCGGCTATCTAGAATCTAAGGAGCAAAATGTATTTGAATAGTCAGTTATTCATAATATTATTAGGCCGCCATAATATTATTTAATATTAATAATATTTAATGAGATTATGCTCTGATTATGCTATGTTTTAGACTATTATTTGTGCTATACACTGATTTTTTATTTAACTTTTGCAATAAACATCTCAAAGCAGTATAATCAAAGCAGTGCCATTTCATTACCAATGAAGTGTCTAAAAGTATGAAACATGTAATGCAATTATAAAAATTCTGTGCACTAAATGTTCAAACATCTTTGTGCGCCATTGTACATGTATTGTCCACATTTCAGTTATGTGCCATGAAGGACAACAATATTTTTTTTTGGGGTAAGGCAGAGGAAACAGAGATAAGTTTAGAGATGGACAATTCAAGACCGCCTGTTTTTACGTTTCATCGTAACAATATCACGATAATTATAGCCCTATCCTGTTGTAGTTTATGTGAAACACGTTTGTACGTAGAGGCTATCAAATCCGAATCTGAATATGTAAGTTTTAAATAACATTCCAACAAAAAGTAAAGATGGACGTATATTTCTCTCTGTGTTAAATTCTCATTTTTACTTCAGCATCTACTATTGTCATCTCTTTACGCTTGTAAAGTGATGATGCATACCAATAGCCTTTCCGTCGGTTCTACGTTGCTAATTTACTTCTCTGTCGCGTTTGGGGTTTATTTCATCGGTGGTGCGCTGACATTGAAGTTACTCAGAGGAGCAACAGGTTGGGAAATGATGCCTAATCACGAATTTTGGCGAAGCCTTCCCTCACTCGTTAAGGTGAGAACAATTCATATTTTCCTATTGCTTATCCTCGCCACTGATTTAATTTTACTTACTCTCGCAGGATGGAGTCGTTTTTACATTCAACTGTTGCCGCCTAGATAGCTACGAAAGAATATAACCTTACGTTTTCTATGATCGGCGTGAGATGTAAGTTCGATAGATTACTCCAACAAGTCTTCAATTGATTTAGTCAACGGGCGCGCATAAACAGTTTTGTACCGTGTAAAGTCAATGACTCAGGCATGTACATTTCTCGTATCTTTTTGGTACGCGTGTGTGCGTAATTTGTGAAAAATTTTATGCGCAAAAGTCGTTGGAATATCACGTACAAAAAATGCTGATAATTTTGTGATAAGTGTAATATTTTATTAATGAGTACTAACAATATAAAAATACGAATACTTGTACGTATACATGTAAACG